CGATCCGCCCAAGGGAAGTCTTCGGATGATGTATGCTCAAAGCGGGTCTTCTAACCAAGCCTGGGAATCACCATGGCCATAAGTATTCTCGAGCTGCGTCCAGTTATGGCGAACAGGGCCTCCACGAGACCAACAAAACCTTCAAAACCCAAGCCGCGGCAGTGAGGCCGTCGTTTTGAAGGTCCCCAGAGGTATCCAGGGTCCTCCGGAGGCCCCCTGAGGCATCAAGAAGTCTCCTGAGGCTCCTCAACCCCCCATCCATGAAACTCGATCCCCCCCCCACTCACAATCTGCAGACATCTCATGTCATGATTATCGGAGATGAGGGTTATGTTGTTCCCGTCGCACCTAAGGACCAACCACATCCCAGAAATACTTTCGGTCACTCAGAAAAATGTCGAAACAGTGTCGAACGAGTATCGCCTCCCAGGGCACGACGCGTGAAAACCCTCCAGTTTCGGCACTTTGTTCTCAAAATTCTTTCTGGTGATCAAAGGTAAAGTAGGTTGAAACATCATGAGGTGAGGGGTGAGATCGCAGTGAAGCGGATAGCCCCCCACCGGGAGCTCGGCTTCGGCCTCGTGCTCGCGTCGCGCGTGCGAAGGGCGGCGGAGCTGCGTGCGGGGGATAGAAGAATGAACCTTCCCGGGCACAAAAACCGCCGCCCCCTGGGTTGTCCGGCGGTGGCTTGGGGGGCCCCGCGGGAGTTCCGTCGGTGCCGCGTAGTGAGATCGATCGTGAGATCGCTATTGAGATCGATCGTGAAGTCGATAGTGAGATCGATCGAGTGAGACCGATAGTGATATTGATAGTGACATCGATAGCGTGAGATCGATAGATCGATTGTGAGATCGATAGCGGGTTCGATACTGAAATGGACGGAGGGACCGATAGTGAGTGAGATAGAGAAGGAGATCAATCGTGCGATCGATAATGAGATCAATCATGGGATCAACCGTGAGATCGATCCACTGAGACAGTTCCTTCCTCCCCCCGGAACCCCCTTCCCACCCGAAGGGTCGTCGCATGGGTGGCCTTCGGCACGCGGCCCCCAGACCTCTCGACCAAGCGGCGACGCGACCGCGACCACGGCGACCACGACGCCGACGGCGCCGACGTCGGCGACCACGGCGGCGGCGATACCGCGACGGCGGCGATACGCCGCGACGGCGGCGGCGAGGACTGCGACGGGCGCCCGCGGGCGCAGGCGGCGGCCACGGCGATTGGCGCCCCCCCCTTGGGGGGGCCGGCCTCTCACCCCGAGTCGTTTCCCTCCCTCCTTCTTCCCCCCTTCCCCCTTGCTCCCTCCTCTGCACTCTTCCTCCCACCTCCCCCCTCCTCCTTCCTTCCTCCTCCCTCCTCCTTCCCGCCCCTGCTCCCCCTCCAGCTCGACCTTCTAAGGACTGGCACGAGAGTCCCAGGACCGGGGATCTCCCCTTCCGCGGGGGCGCGCAAGCATGGATTAGCGATCCATGGATCTGGCGCGCAGTCGCCAAATCCACGCATCGGTGGAGGTGCCCCCCCAGAATGCTGCCGGTGCCGCCTCGGTCGGCGGCGGAAATGCGCGGTTCCCTATGGAAACGGGGCCCGTCGCTAATCCACGCCCCCTTGATCCATGTTTGCGATCGCCTGATTTTACTGCACGGTTTACCCCGGGGCCGTAAGCGACTCGAGGAGGAGGAGGAGGAGGAGGAGGAGAATGAGGTGGAGGAGAGAGGAGGAGGAGGAGGATGAGGAGGAAGAGGAGGAGGCGGAGGAGAAGGCTCCTCCTGGATTGAGGGCGTTCTGGAACGCTCTGGATCGCCTGGCCTCCCGAGAAGGCCAGCCCCTTCCTGCTCCCCCCCCCCGGGGCTCGCAGGCGACGTCCTGAGGCGGCACACATGGAGGCCGAGGGCGGCCAACGGAAAGCCAGGCGTGGCTTGCACAAGAGGCTGGACGCCCGGGCCCCTCCCCCACTCGAAATCGGCCCTTGGCCTGTCCCAGGGCCTGAGAACGGGCGACAACTCCTGGGCGTGAAGCAGTGCGACGCCCGGATCTCCGCGAGGGCGGCGAGGGGGCCCCTCTCTCTCCCCCCTTTCCTGCCGGCTGCAACCAGTGCTGGGCCACCTCAGCCCCCCCCTCCTCGCCCCCCGCCTCTTCCCACTTTCCCCCCTCCTCCTCCTCCTCCTCCTCCTCCTCCTCCTCCTCCTCCTCCTCCTCCTCCTCCTCCTCCTCCTCCTCCTCCTCCTCCTCCTCCTCGCCCAGCTCCACAGAGAACTGTCGTCGGCTCCGCAGGGTGTGCTCTGCGCCCCCGGGGGGGGAGGGCGAGGACCTCGGGCAACGCCGTGGCCCCCAGGCGGGGCTTTCTCAAGACGTGGGTCGCCCGGGCCCCTCCCCCACTCGAAATCGGCCCTTGGCCTGTCCCAGGGTGCGCTCTGCCTCTACAGCCACAACGAGTCCAGCGATTACAGTCCCTCGTGCCCCCCCCAAACCCCAACGACGCAGATCGGAAACCACACCCCGGCGTCGTACAGCCGAACCAGGATCGCAAGAGCGTGGATCAAGAACACGGGCCCCTGCGCCGAAAGCCCAAGCCCCCGTGGAGGTATCCCGAACGCAGAGCGTTCCAGGGTGGAGAGCCCAACGGCGAAGAACCCAAGGGTTGCGGATGCCATGAAAATGGGCACTCCAATAGTCCAGTCCTACCATTGAATGAAAAAATGTAGACGAAAATGTTCTAAACGTGTTTCAAGCATGTGTGAAACATGCCTGAAACATAGTTTGAAGCATCTCTTAGACATCTGGCAAAAATATCTGGCAGCATGCTCCCTCTCCACTGTCCACGTCCCCAAGGGCACCCCTCCAAAACTCCGCATGCTCCCGACCCTCAGTGCCAGCTCTGGTCGCCGAGCAGAGCCCCAGCCTTCACCGGCGAGGCGCCCGCGCCACTGCCCACGGCGGCGCCGCCGCCGCCCGCGGCCGCCTCGGGGTCGCCCCAGAGGGCTCGCCCGCGCGCGCACGCTGAGCGCCGCGCCGGCGAGCCGCGGGCCCGACCAGTCAGCCACGGCCGGCTCGTGTGGTGACCCCACGAGGTCCGAAGGATCGCAATTCTGTTCTCACCGGGCGTCTTCCTCCGGAATCGGGCACTGGGACCCTGAGAGGTCGATCGGGCTCGAAGGATAAAGCAAACCGATAGGGTCTACCCTGATCATCCGATACCGATTGTTTTCGGGTAGCGCGTCACAAGATCCGGTCGCGACCGAAATGCTGAACATCAACGCTCAAAACCAGTAGCAAGCACATTGCATGCACGATCGAAATTGCGCTTGAAAACCAGTAGCGCCCTACCGAAATTAGTTTCAGCGCTACCGAATTTGAGTGCACCGTCGCTGCCGAATTTCGTTCGGCGCTACCGAATCTAGTTTCGGCGTTACCGAATTTCATTTAGAGGGGGATAACAGCTTGCAGCGATGATCAAAACACTAACAATACGGATAATAAAACTAATGCAAATGATGATTGTAAAAAATAAGATGATGCTGATGATGATGATGATGGCGATGATGATGATGGTGATGATGATGATGGTAATGACGACGGTGATGATGGTGATGACGAGGATGATGCTGATGATGGTGATGACGATGATGAGGATGATGAGGGCACTGATGTGATTATGATGCCAATGCTACCGATGACGACGCGGATTGCACTGACGACTGCGATGATGGCATCGGGGATGTCTGTGCTGTTGATGCTATTGTTGGTGGTCGTGCTGACCATGATGATGATGATGATGATGGTGATGATGGTGATGATGATGGTGGTGGTGGTAGTGGCGGTGATGATTATCATGATGATGCCACCAGCGGCACGCTGTGAGTGCTGATGGTATTCCTGACGTTCTATGGTGTGGTCGTATCTTCCTTGACGCCAGGAAACGTCAGTAAACGTGAGCAATCATTTTGAGCCTGAGTACAATATCCATATATATATATATGTATATATATACATATGTACGTGTGTGTACAGATCATATGACAATTATCGTAATCATGTTAACCACACTTCGGTATTGTGATACTTTGACACTAATTGTAAAGAGCTTTGGCACGCGTGATGACAATGGCACCAACGGCATGCTGTACATGCTGATGGTGATGATGATGATGGTGGTGATGATGATGGTGGTGCTGATGATGATGATGGTTGGGTGGTGATGATCTTCGCGTTACCGATGATCGTTTCCCGCTACCGAATGTCGTCTGCCCGCTACAATTTTCGAGTCGGGGCCGCTACCGAAATTCGTTTCCCCGCTACCGAGTTTCACCCTCCCAGATTGGCACCTATACGCAACTGCCCGACGCAACCGACAACATCTGGTATCCGGTCACGGCCGAATCGACGAGCGCCTAAATCGCAACCGACAAGAGCAAGTATAGGACGATCTGGGTAGGCGTGGGCGCGCAAACATGGATCGGGGGAGGTGCCCTCCCCAGATTGCGGCAGGTGCCGCCTCGTTCGACGGCGGAAAGCGGCGATGTCCCATGGAGGCGGGACGGGTCGCTAATCCACGCCCCCTTGATCCATGTTTGCGATCGCCTGAGGTAGGGACCAGATCGTGCTTTGAGCTCTATGTTGTTTTTTTGTTCGCAAGGTCGAAGCTCAGGGACGGTGACCCTGGGAGGAGGAGGACGAGGAAGAGGAGGATGAGGAGGAGAAGGCGGTGAAGGAGGAGGAGGAAGAGGAGGAAGAGGAGGAAGAGGAGGAGGAAGACAAGGAGGAGGAATAAGAGGAGGAAGAGGAGAAGGAGAAGGAGGAAGAGGAGGAGGAGGAGGAAGGGGAGGAAGAGGAGGAGGATATGGCACTGACACCAGACCCCGCGGCCGCCTCTTCAGATTTCCGACAGCATGCTTGAGCTTCAATCTGGGCGTTTGTTCTCCTCGAGATCTGGGCCTCGCGGGGCCCGTGCTCGCGCCGCGACGACGCCATCGGTGGTGGCGCGAATGCGCTCGGCGTACCTCTCCCCCCAGAGCTGGCAGCGGCGGGCCACCCCCTCGAAGCAAGCGAGGTTGCAGATGTTAAGCTGGTCGCACTGTAGCCCCTGCTGCAAGGTCTCCGAGAGGAAAAGGCGCTCGTCGACGCCGGGGACCGACAAGGTGGCCCCGAGAGCCTGTCGCCACCAATGGTGGTGGGGCACGGGCGCCTCCCCGCTGCTGGCGAAGGCCTCCACGAGCCAGTGCACCGTACGAGGCCCATCCACGGGCCAGGCGTCATCCAGCGGCCCCTCGCGCAGCAGGCTCCGAGCGCCACCGAAGCTGCGAGTGCGATCGCCGCGAGGGTTGTGCGCCACGGGCAGCGTGCGGATGTCCTCCTCGGGCGGGCGACGCGTCGCGAGCCGGCGGCGTGGGCGGGTCGCGGCAAAGGCGCAGTCAGACCCCGCTGCGCTGCAGCAAGGCCTGACCTCCGCCCCCGAAGGCGACGTCCGAGCGCTCGCCCACGGCGGACTCGCCGCGGCGGAAGGGCCCCACGTTCTCGCCAGCAAACCGGCGCGAGCCCACCACAAGGCACTGCCCAGCCGACGTGCCAGCAGCAGAGAGCTCAGGGTCGTCGTCGACGCCGGCAGCTGTCGAACCAGCGGGCGGCCCAGGCAGGGGCGGGAGAGGAGCAGCATCACCGTCGTCACCACCAGGAGGCCGAGCAGCCAGAGCGGCCAGCTCAGCCTCCGCGCGCCGACGCAAGCCACTTCCCGGAGTGATGCCGGCAGCGCGGAAGGCGTAGCGGAGCACTTTGTCGCCGGACAAACGATTGGGCACCCCGCCTGCCATGCCACTATCCAGCATGTCGACGTAGTCACCGAATTGCTCCTCGTAGACATCGCCGTCAGGTGTGACGATAACGTGTCCTCCTCCCGTCGGCTGTAAAACGAGTCTCTCGTGCCAGACAGCTTCATCGAGGTCAAAACGCGCCCAAAAGCGACGCTCTCTCTCAACGCTTCTGAAGGACATCGACCACCACCCGCGAGCCGCCCGCGAACACCAACGGGAAGTGTCAGACACTTCGCCTGCGCGGTCGGCGTCGGCTGACCTCCGAGCAGCGGCGTGCGCCACCAGCGCGCCAGGAGGAACCCTGTGGCGAGCTGCCCGAGCGCGACCGCGATCAGCACGGAGGTGGGCCAGCCTGGGGCCCCGCAGTCACACTGGCAGCCAGAGACAGGGGCGACTGGTGGCGCCGACCGCGCCAGGAGACAGAAAAATCCGATGGAGAACAAGCAGGCGACCGAGGACGGATCCACCGCCATCCTCTGCCGGACACAAAAAAGCTTGAGGCGTCAGTGGCAGCGGCAGTCGTCAGCATTACGATTGACATTAGCACGACGACGCCGACGCCGACGACGACGGGAACGGCGACGACGACGACGAAAACAATGACGTTGACCACGATGACGACGGCGACGATAACGACGACGACGACGACACCGACGCCGACGACGACGGCGACGCCGACGACGGCGACGACGACGGCGGCGACTCCGACGACGACAACGGCAACGACGCTGACGACGACGACGACGACGACGACGGCGACGACGACGACGACGACGACGACGACGACGACGACGACGACGACGACGACAGCGGCGACGACGACGAAACCAAAGTTGACGACGACGACGACGACAATGACGGTAACGACGACGACGGCGATGCCGACGTCGACGACGATGGCGACAGCGACGACGACGACGAATGTGACGACGACGGTGACGACGACGACGACGACGACGACGACGACGACGACGGGGACGCCAATGACGTCGCTGACAACGACGACGACGGCGGCGACGCCGACGACGTCGCTGACGGCGACGACGGCGACAACGACGTCGCTGACGACGGCAGAAGCGTCGACGACAACGACAACGACGCCTGCACCGCCGACGACTACGACGACGAATCCGCCGCCGCCGCCGCCGACGACATTGACGACGACAACGAGGCCGACAACGCCGACGGCGACGACGACATTGACGACCATTGCGACGACGTTGATGACGACGTTGGCGTTGACGACGACGACCACTACGACGACGCCGATGACGACGAAAACATCGACGACGACGCCGACGCCAACGCCGACGCCAACGCCGCCACCGCCGCGGCCGCCGAAGACGACGACGACGACGACGACGTTGACGACGACGACAACGACGCCAACACCGACGACGACGTTAACGACGACGCCGACACCGACGACGACATTAACGACGACAACGGCGACTTTGACGGCGACGCTTGCGACGACCACGACGGCGACGACGACGACGACCACGGCAACGGCGACGACGATAACGGCGACGACGACGACGACAACGGCGACGAAGACGACGAACTCAATGACGTCGGTGACGACGATGGCGAAGAAAACGACGACGGCGTCGACGATGACGCCGACAACAAACACGACGCTGACGCCAACGCCGGCGCCGCCGACGACGTTGAAGACGGCAATGGCGACGGCACCAGCGACGGCCCCGGCGATGACGACGGCGTCGAAGACTTTAACGACGACGACGACGGCGACGACGAAGGTGACGACGACGACGACGGCGACGACAACGTAGACGACCTAGACGACGACGACAGCGCTGACGACGACGCCGACGTCCATCAAATCGCTGACAACGACGGCGAAGTTGTTGTTGACGACGACGACGACGACGCTGACGACGACGGCGACGACGACGATGATGACGGCGACGGCGACGACGACGGCGACGGCGACGACCACGACGACGACGATGACGACGTTGACGTTGACGGCGACGACGCCGCCGAGGATGACGACGACGACGGCGACGACGACGACGCCGACGCCGACGCCGATGCCGACGCCGATGCCGACGCCGACACGGACGCCGACGCCGACGCCGACGCCGACGCCAACGCCGACGACGACGACGACGACCACGACGACGACGGTGGGCGGGGGCAGCCTGCGCGGGCACCGCGGGCAGAGCGGCGGCTGGCAGGTGCCGCGGGGGCGCCGCGTGCAGCGGGCTCCCGCCTGGCCGCGGGACGCGGCGCCCGCCGTCGTGGGCTGCGCCCGGCGGTCGTCGTGGGTCGTCGTCGGTCGGTCGTCCTGCGTCCTCCTGCCTCTTCTCTCTTTCGCGCTGCCGCTGGTCCTACAGTCGGGGCGCGAGCTTCGATGACCCATGGCAAACCTTAGGAAAACCTCAGGCAAACTGCACAACAATCGAGGAACACCGAGCCCCTCCCCAGCGAAAAGGGTTCCTCCTCCAGCGCCCCGACTGTGCTGGACGCGTGGAAAAAAAAACTGCGCAATTCTTGCTCTGACACTGCGTTGAAACCATGGCGACCCGGGGGGGCCTTTGCCTGTGACAAAGGAGGCGCCTGCGCTCACAGAGCCGTGCAACAATACTTTGTCAACCTGCTGGCACAAAGGATGAGTGGGAGGAGGAGGGACATAAATGTACAAAATGCATGCACACATCCATGGCGAGATACCCGCAGAATGGAGATCGGCCGGCCCCTTTGCGGGGCCACCAGGCTGTAGGGTGAGGGTGGTTACTCTGTGCGCCAATTGCAGCTTCAAGTCCCCAGTGTAAATATCACATGGGAAGGTTGCCCATCTCTGATACGCAGGTCCACTATAGGGTCGAGATCCACGATCGAGTTTTGGTGGAGAGAGCGAGCATGACGATTTCCCTCGGCGCCGTCGCCGCCTCGGCCAGCGCGGGCGCATCCACGTCGCGCAGCCGTTGGGGCAACCCCGCGGGCCAGGCCGTCGGGACAACCCAGCGAGCCGCTGGCGCGCGAGACCAAGCCGTTGGGACAACCCCGCGGGTTTCGGAAGGGGCGCCGCCGCGCTCCTCTGCGTTGGGCGCTCTGGCTCTGCTCTGGGCCCCTCCGGGGGCGCGCCCTGCCCTTGCTCTGGGCTCCGAGCCCGCCCCGCACCTCTGGCCAGCACACCCTCAAGGAGAGATCGCGGGGCCGCTCGTCGTCGCCGTATGTCCGTCCGAGGCCATCGACGTCCTCGTCCTCGTCCTCCTGCTCGTCTTCCTTCCTCCTCCTCCTCCTCCTCCTCCTCCTCCTCCTCCTCCTCCTCCTCCTCCTCTCCTCCTCCTCCTCCTCCTCCTCCTCCTCCTCCTCCTCCTCCTCCTCCTCCTCTCCTCCCTCCTCCTCCTCCTCCTCCTCCCTCCTCCTCCTCCTCCTCCTCCTCCTCCTCCTCCTCCTCCTCCTCCTCCTCCTCCCTCCTCCTCCTCCTCCCCTCTCCTCCTCCTCCTCCCTCCTCCTCCCTCCTCCTCCTCCTCCTCCTCCCTCCTCCTCCCCCTCCTCCTCTCCTCCTCCTCCTCTCTCCTCCTCCTCCTCCTCCTCCTCCCTCCTCCTCCTCCTCCTCCTCCTCCTCCTCTCCTCCCTCCTCCTCCCCTCTCCTCCCCCTCCTCTCCTCCTCCTCCTCCTCCCTCCTCCTCCTCCTCCCTCCTCCTCCTCCTCCTCCCTCCTCCTCCCTCCTCCTCCTCCTCCTCCTCCTCCTCCTCCTCCTCCCCCTCCCCATCATCCTTCCTCCTCTTCCTTTCTCGCCCCTTCTCCTGTTCCCCTCGGCCTTCCCTCCCCTCATTCGCATGACGACGGACGACCCGTCCCCCGTCTGACGACGGACGACCCGTCCCCCGTCCCCCTTCTCTCTCCTTCTCTCTCTCCGTCCCCTGTCTGGCGACGCCGGACGACGAACGGCGGCGGCGGCGGACGGCGTCGGCGGCGCCCGGCGCCGCCCAGCGGGGCCTCCCTGGGAGGCCGGCGCGGGGTCCCGCGCTGGGGGGGCGAACAGCCCCTGCAGCGCCGCGCCCGTGTCCCTCGCGAGGCAGAGCGGGCATCGCGGGCGGCGGCCGCCGCCGCCGCCGCCACCGCCGCCGCCGCCGTCGTCGGCGTCGTCGGCGGCGGCGGCGTCGGCGTCATCGTCGTCCTTGCCCATATCCTGGGCATCATCACGATCGTGGTGACTGGACTGGACTGGTGCGCCCATCGGCCCGATGGCCGTCCCTGGGCGGGGGCGCGTGGCGGAGCCTCGGCTCAATCCACCGTGGCTTCTCCGGCGGCGCGCACAGTGGGGTAGGGAGAGGGGGTAAAGGCTTCTTAGGAGGAGGCTGCTTCTTGGCGGCCGCGGGCCTCATCTGTAGGCGTAAGGCCGGTGCCTTCTTAGAAGCAGCCTCCTAAGACGCCTTTCCCCCCATAATTCACCCCCTCTCCACATGGCCATTTTCTCTCACGCGTCTTCTTGCAGCTCACTCTCACTCTCACTCTCACATTGTGCAGGTGGACGCAATGACAACCCACCTCAGCCTGGATAGCTTTGCGAGCCTTTTCCTTCGAGCGGGCTTCTGCGAGGAGGAGGAGGAGGAGGAGGAGGAGGAGGAGGGAATAGCGAGGATCGGCCCCACGCGCGCTCTAAGTGATTTCGGGCTCCCAATGAGGTCTTCGGCTTAGTGATTCCCCTTCCTTTTGAACCGTCGGTGTCAAACAAGGCCCCAATACGACGCTAGGGGCGCCCAGAAGGGCCCCAAAAAAGCACCCCAGGAGACCAGGGGTGGGGGGGGAAAGACATGGCCCCAAGAGGATCCCAGTAGTGCTCCTGGCCTTCAAGAAGCCCCCAGTGGAACCCAAACTTGTCGCTGCTGAGTGCTGTTCAGGCTAACATCAGACTCGGATCGGGTGGCGTCCCCCCACCGTTCCGTCCGACGTCTCTCGCGGCATCGCGCTAAATAGTATGTTCTAAATGGGGTGGCGTAACATGTTCGGTTCGTGTCGTGCCGACTTCAGCGTTGGTCTCTGACACCACGGGGATCGCT